TTCTCCTCCCATTTGCCAACGAATGAAAAAACCTTGTATTGATGTCCCCAACTTATCTCCTCCTTCCTAAGAAGATCTTCCTGTTTCAAATTCCATATTTCCACCCTACCCTCTTCCCCCAGTCTTCTTCAGCTTCTAGTCCATCTAGCTCCTACACTCTCTGACTGATTTCCACTTTCCTTTGCTCTAATCTACCAAAAACCTCTTTATTCCAAATCTTGAGTCTAGCTTTCAGGAGTTGTAGTTTCTTGTAAAACCTATACCCCTTCCAACGGAATTCCACTTGGTCCACTTCCCACCATTCTTTTACCTTAGCTAGAAACTCTGGATGAAGTAACCACATGTTTTCAAACCTAAAAGGGCACGAGCCTCCATCTAGTCTTTCTTGAGACAACCTGATTGGGCAATGATTTGAAATAGGTCTCGGCAATGCTGTAACACCTAATATCCCCCATTTAACTTCCCAATCCACTTTAAAGAGGAACCTATCCAATCGACAACAAGTAGGGTTTTCTTGAAAGTTTGACCAGGTAAAATTTGTTTGTTGAAGAGGGAGGTCCCGCAATGTAAAATTCTCCACAAAGAGATTAAACTTCCTCATGCTAGATGTAATCCTACGACTGGGGTTATTGGACTCATTTAAGAATCTTATTACGTTGAAATCCCCACCCAAATACCAAGGGCCATCCCACAAACCCCTAACAGCTGCTAGTTCTTCCCAGAAACCTTCCCTTTCCCTGTAAGAGGTGGGACATTAGTTAGCACCCAAGCCCACCCATCTTCCTTTCTCTTCAATTTTATTGACACCAAGAAGTTCCCAATTAATTCTTCTTCACACTCCCAGACTTCATTTCTCCATAAAGTAATAATTCCCCCTGAAGCTCCCCACGATTGTGCAAAGGCCCAACTCAAATTTCTTGTTGACCAAATGCTCCTCACCCATTTCTTGTCCACCTCAGACAATTTTGATCCTTGTATTAAGACCACATCTGGCATTTCTCTTCTCAAGAAGTCTTTGATCACTCGCCTTTTCTTTGAACTCCCCAAACCTCTTACATGTCAGCTTATTAACTTCATGGAGAAACAAATCAGGTAGCCCCAACCAAACCACCCTCTTTACTCCCTTTTTCTATCCTTCCTACCCTCACTCGCTTACTAGACTCTTCCACCTTCTCAATTCCTTCTAGTTTCTTACCTGACCCCTTCTTCTTTTTCCGTTGTCCTTTTGATTTTCCACTATATCCACTTTTCTCCACTGTATTGGGAAATTGAATAATCTCCTCCTCAACCCTACCCTCTTTCACATTCAGCTCCTCTTCCATTCTGATTCTAAATAGTTCCAAGATCAACTCCCAAATTTTGTCCCCTAGTTCTCTCTCTTCTACTTCTGAATTTATCTCTCCCACTATCTTTGTCACTTGTCCCGAATCAAACGAATTGGTAGACTTTAAAGCTGGGCTAGAATCACCTATAGGCCAGACACACACAGGACTTGGGGAAACAGAGTTAGTAACCAAAAACTGAACCTGAAAACAATCCAAACCTTGGGAGGAAGAAGACGCAATATGAGTTGCTAGAATAGCCTGAACCCCTTTTGTTTGACTTTCGTTGGGAATAGGACCCTCGAAATCAAGATCTGGATTGATTAAAGTGGGAAGCGGGCAGTTTATAGCTCTGCTTGGAGGAACCAAATTGCCAACACACACCGTACAAGCACCCATTCCATGGTCTTTACAAAGGATTGAATCCCCTTTTCTCCCTATTTCGGTTTTCTCCTCACCCGAGCCTGTTTTCTTTCTTTCCAACTCCTTTCTAGGTCGAACCAACTCTCCTAGAAGTGTACAAGCCTCTTTCGAACAATAACTTTAATCCTGGGTCATCTTCCTCCCCAAACCTTGAACGGCATTTACTCTGTATACTACCATAGCAGGACTTTTCAACATACAACTCCTCTGATGATTATATTAGCTTGTAAAGTGGCCGGTGATCAACTAAAGTGCTTTAGATGCATCTTCTCTGTTATAAAGCAATTGTGGCTAGTGATCAACTAGCCAAAGCGAGGCTAAGGCGACAAGGGGGTGCCTTGTCGCCAAGTCGCCTAGGCGATGGATTTTTTATGTAGAAAACATAGATCCTAGGGTAGTTCCCTAGGTACCATCACAATATTTCTTTAATAATTATTCATAATTTTCATAAAAAAAAAACGTAGAGTTCTGGTTAAAGTACAACAAATCAACATATTCATGAGAACAAAAGAAGAAAAGAAAATATAGGGACTGAACCCTTATTTTTGTTATAGGAAAAGAGGAAAATAGTAGTGCTTGGCAATAATAATAAAAAGAAATGTGTTGATTAGACAAAATTTTAAGTTCTTCCTTACTTATTGGTTCAGGTTTTAAAGTCTTTGAGGGTTCAATACAGCATTTACAATGTTTGTATTGATTAAACCCTAACAAATAAGAAAATAATAAAAAGATATTAGTATATATAACACACAAAATGAATATTTTAGTTTAATAGTGCCTATTTTATAATTATAATGTCAAAAAATAAAGAATAAAAAAGTATTTTATAATACATAGTACGAAACTGCTTGGCGATTAGGCGAGGCAAGCCTCAAAGGGTGCCTTGTCGCCAAGGCGTCACCTTGACAACTATTTACCCCATATAGTTAGAACAAGGCTTAGGGGCCATTTGGTAATAGCTGAAGTAGCTGAACTGAAAACAAATTGCTTTGTCTTTTAGTGAATAAGTTTTTAAGGAGCTTGTGGGCTCCTTTTTGGTAGAAAATAAAAAAGAAAAAATTATTAATAGAAAAGAGATGACAAGTTATCACCCCAAAAAACAGAAAGCTCAACACCCTCCCAGACACATTTGAGAAATAAATTCAAAACCTGTCTAGACCCTCAACATAAAAGAAAAACTGCCTACAAATCCCTCACAATCACCACAAAATTAACTCAGGCCCAAACCCTCAAATACAACTCACTCCATCCCAATAAACAACAAAATATCACTTTTCCTCAAGTTAATCATCATTCATAGGATAGCTCTTTTCCAATTCCATAATTTTTTTCTTGTAAAATATTTTTTAGAAAAAAAAAGGTAACTTGTATTGATAATTCAAAAAAGGGAAGGATGTACAAGAAAGGGCCATATAAACAAAAAAAACCCTAACAATTTTCTTGCAAAACCCTCCCCCTCCCAAAATGAAAAGCCCTAACATTTTGCTACCCGGACCTCTGTCTCAACATTTTCTTTTCAAATTAAAGCTCCCCTCTACCTCTATAACTCGGTTTAAACCACCTCAACTTCATATTCTTCAATCATTATCATCCTTCTCCGCATCTTTACTACCCTTCTCTACTTCCAAACCTGATCCATTTTCTTCTACTAGCTGAGCAAAGTCTATTTCTCAGCACCTTATCATGATGAATAACCTTCTCAGCACCTTTCTGCAACCTGTTTTTTATCCTTCAAACCCTTTTTCTTAAAGGCCCTCTTAAAACTTATTACAAGGCCATGCACCCCCAGAAGTCTATCTTTAAAACAATGAAACACTTTAATGACATGAACCAAACTCCCATTGCTTGTTCCCTTGGATTTTTTTTCCAGTTTTCCATTGCACTAAAATCATAGCTAGCCTCTTCCGCTCCCCAGTCACAACCCTATTGTGGGCTCCTGAATAGCTGAAACTGAAGCTCAGTAGATTAACATAGCCTTGATTATTTTATTATTTTTTCCACTAAAAAGCAAAGCAAAAAGTCCTTCAGTTCAGCAACTTAAGTTGTTATCAACCAGCCCCTTATATGATGCATGCTTTTAAGAAAAATGTCCCATTTGAGGTTGGACTCGATATTTGTGTTTGTTTCCATAAGGATTTGTGTTGAATTATTTCTTCCCTTTACATGGATTCCCCCTTTTTTTCTGTATGGCAGCAAACAAAGATGCACTGGCAAATTATTTCTATGAAATGTTGTGGATCATGTAATATAGAATCCCTTGTATTAGAGGCACACAAACGACTGGGAAGTGGATATGTTGTTGCAGCTGCAAGACCAGTTGGAAAACTAACCGCTGTCCCAAGCACAGTTCAAAGTATCAATACATATCAGTTTTGGACTGGTCAATACATTTTTTATAATTATTGGACCAGCCAATACATTAAACACTAAGAATTAGGGACATCTGTCAATTTTACACAATGGCAGTAAGTTGAATAATGCGTACTCTGATGGGCGTTCACTGAAACTTAGTAAAAATTAGAGTATCAGTTGTTGGAATTGCTTGAAACGTAAAGCAATATTATTGAGTGCATTGATACTTTGAACCTTGGTCCTGAAAAAGGCACTTTCCTAAGCTGTATATGGGGATTATACAAGTATGATGATGAACAAGATATCTATTTTATTACAACCATCTTGAGATGAATTCTTACAAACTTAAATTCTGTAGTAGATAGATTAGAAAATTCAATAGTAACAACTAACAGGGGAAAGGTTGAACAGCAATTCCTCATTGCCATAGATCAGATTTATAGTCTCTTGTATGGCTACGGCACGAGATGAGTCAATTGTGTATCATGTTTATCATGACTATTTTTTTTCACATCCCATACTTAATGAATTACCTCTGGCCACTGCTGCAAAGAGAAAAGTTGGTTGATTAAATCAAATACTGTTGATGTGAGCATATGCTAGTTAAGCCTTTAACATGCCTAGCACATGCAGGGTCTCATAACCTATTTTTTTTATGAATAAGGTCTCATAACCTATTGCTCTACCTTTATCTCCTTTTCTCAATTTTGTAGAAAAGCCATCTTATTGAAATTTTATTTTCTCAAAATTATCCACCAGAAGCTGAAGGCCTGAAGCTTAATGGAGCTATATATGTTGACATTGTTCTGAAAATATATATAATTCAAAACATTTAAGTACAGTTGTATTCCATTCAAAACACCAAGTCAAAAAGGTTATAGAATGCCTTAAAGCATAGCATACCTGGATGATCTGGCGAGCCTTCAGGTCCAATGAAGCCCATTGTGGATGCAGAGGAAGGGGGAACTGGTTGTCTGACAACCAAGTGTAAAGTATGTCCATCTTCCACATCTAAATCAAATTAAGAAATCCAAAATGCAAATCTACTGAACTACCAATCAAAGGATTAACAAGCAATATAACCAAGTTAAGAAATCCAAAGTCTACTTCTACTGAACTACCAAAGTCCAAATCTCCTTAACCATTTGCCCAGCCAAAACACCAAGAAGTAATAGATATGAAAGTTAGAGAGAGTTGAAGAACTTACGGTGATTCTACCTCCCAAAGATATGTAATTTCTTTTCTAATTGGCCAACTTCTTAGAAAATCTATTGAGAACAGGATTCCAAAAGTTGCATATCACAAATGGAAGAAAAGTAACATCAATTCTTGACTTAAGAAAAGCTGCATATCAATTGCATAGCTTCATGGCCAAAATGAGATTGACCTCAAAATGGTCAAGACACAAAAACCAAGTTAAGAATATATCAACACTGTCCTTCTCTACCATTATTCATTAATTTAAATATTTAAACACACACACACACACACCAATTTATCCATTACTAGGAATGTTTTGGGTGATTGTAGTTTGTTCTTAGTCCAAATGTCTCGTTACTTTCCTCCCAGAAAATCTGCTGGTGGGAAGAGGAGGTGGGAAGCAAGTAACTGGTATCGAAGAGAGAAGAAAGAAGCGAGAACAAGAGCCACCATTTCCTACAGTAAAGCAGCGGCGGCAAGAGCTTGGCCTGGTTTTGGGTCGACGGAGGTGAAAAAGTTTGATGATAAATGGGTTGTAGTCACTGAATCATAGGCGGTGGAAGCAAGCAGAGAGTTTTTGCAGAACCGATTGGTTGGAAGGTTTCGGTGGGGGTGGGGATTAGTGAAGTGGAGACATGGGTGAGTAGGCAATGGAGAGAGGTGGGGGAGTAAAAGTGAAGAAAATGGCAGATGGCCTCTTCTTGTTCATTTGCCCTTCGAGAGCTGAAGCAGAACGAGTCTTACGTAATGGGCCTTGGCATCTGGAAATGAATTCGCTCTTGTTGGACTGGTGGGGTGCAAGTGCAGGATGCTCCTACCCGGATCCTTTCTCTTAAGGTGAGGACTTGGAGTCGATCTGGATCAGGGTGTTCAGTCTTCCCCTTCTTCTCTGGTGTCCAAGTGTAATAAAAGCTATCAGAGATGTTTGTGGGGGATTCATCGAGACTGACGATTCGCCTCCGGAGGTTGCTACCTGTGAGTGGGTTAGAATAAAGGTACACAAGGGGATTCCATTTTGAACAAGGTTGAAGTTGTAGCAGGGGAAGTCTTGTTTTCCATCCAAATCTGGTCGGAAATACTGCTGACTATTTGTAGATGGAGAGGGGGAGATGAAGGGTTTGGGAGTTTTCAGAGAGAGGGGAGAGTAGGTTCGGACTTTACTAGTACATTGGTCCTGGAAGATACTAGTGAAAGTTTCCAACCCCGAACATCTGTTGGTGAGTTGCATTAGAAGATTCATGCTCGGTCGAGTTCCCAAGCGGTCGTTGGTAGAGAAGATGGCGACAAGCTCAATTCTAACCTAAGTCGTTCGATCTCAAAGGGCACAGTGGGCCCAGATGAGGCAACTGAGGAGTTTGGAGGGGGTGGGATTCAAAATTCAAAATTTGGGGCTAGCGAGCAAATTTTGGGAGTTGAGGACAATAAAAATCTGATTAAGCAATGTCTTGTTGAGATGCATGTGGCACCTAGGGAGGGTTCGTTGCCAAAAAATCAAGGGATAGACTGCCAGACGCCTATTTTCGAGAATTGCTTGGCCCAAGAAAATTTAGTAGAAGGAAATGAGCTTGTTTCGCCACTTCCAACCCAGTCAAGCCCCCCCTACTTCAGGTGTTGGGCCTGGGCCCAAAGCAATCAGTGAGCCTAGGCATCCTCTTAGTCGAAGGATGCCCAGCAACCTGAGTTATAGGGACCCTGGGTGGTCCAGCCAACCACCAAAAAGTTTAGGGGTCAACCGGGGTTCTCAAAACCCACAGTCGTTTCCTCTGTGGGTGGAATCGAAGGACGGCGAGGGAGTTTTGGCTTCTCAATCTTTTCCTTCGAATCCTCTGTCTCCACCGGCTGCTTCTCTTGGGGTAGAGACTCATTTGGAAGCTCTTCACTTAGCCTTGTCAAGAGTGGAAGATTCCCTGATTGAGGTGGCTCCGATAGCGATGTTGGTTTCAGGTTTACAATCCGAAGGCAGGGGAGAGGATCAAGACCATCTTAGAGCTTAGGTGGAAGCAAGAAGAGGTAATTGCTAGCACTGAGGGTGCTGGAATAGCAGAGCAGCCGCATGTGAACAGTGGAACGGTGATGAACCGGCCGATTTAGAGAGGTAAGCAACCAGTGACCTCTAGTGCTTCCTCCTGGGTTTCGTCAAAACTATTGGTTTTGGGTGAATATCTGAGGATTTAATTAGAGGGGATGGAGGAGGAGACAATCAAATATTTGGAGGGAGTTGAACAAAGAATTCTCATGGAAATAGGGAATGTAGCAGCAAAGAAGAAGGGAAATAATTCCAAAAGAAGCAGAGAAATGATGCGGCTAACGTGGGGTTTAAATGACAAGGCTAGCAGCAGTGAGGGGAGTTTGAGGGGGGAGAAAAGTTTGAGAAATAAGTTTGTTTTTTGTGTTTGTGATTTGTAATGGAGGTAAAATTGTTATCTTAGAATGTAAGGGGTTTGGGGTTGAGTAGAAGAAGACTTGTAGTGTGAGTCCCTAAAGAAGTTGAGGTCGAAGATCATTTTGTTGTAAGAAATCAAGCTGGACAGTGTAGAAGCTGCAGTAGTTAGAAGCATCAAGGGGGAGGGTGAAGTTAGATGGAAAGCTAAACTGACAGTTGGGAGTGCAGGGGGGCTGTTGAGCATGTGGGATCCGTCGGTTTGTAGCTTGATCTCCTCTCACATTGGAAACTTTTTGGTTTCCCTAGTTCTAAAATTTGCAAATGGGAATACTTGTCAAGTCAGAAATGTTTATGGTCCTACTAATCGAAATCTGCGGGAGGAGTTCTGGGAGGAAATGGTTGTGGTGAGGGGAAATATGTATTATCCATGGGTTATTGGTGGTGATTTTAATGTCACTTTGTCTGCTGAAGAGAAAAATTCCAGAGGAAGAAGATTCAGGGATATGGCTCAGTTTGCTGACTTCATCAACATATTTGAATTGATTGATTTACCTCTTCATGGTAGTCGGTTTACTTGGACCAATAATCAACATATCCCCACTCTTGTGAGACTGGATAGGTTTTTGGTTACTTCTAATTGGGATGAGTTATTTCCTGACTTCAAGCAAATTGTCCTTCCTAGGCCAGTTTCATATCACATTCCAATTCAGCTAGTTTGTTGTGCTAAAAATAGAGTAAAAGCCCCTTTCAAAATGGAGAATGCTTGGTTTGAAGATGCTAATCTTATTCCTTTGTTGAAGACAGTTTGGGAAGATTTACAGGTAATGGGAACCAGCTCTTTCATTCTGGCAAAAAAATTGGGTGCCATTAAAGTGAGATTAAAGATCTGGAAATTGGAGAAAAGCAAGAATTTAGAAATGAAAAAGAAAGCTCTGCTGAGTACCATAAAGGAAATTGATTCAGCAGAAGAGTTGGGTCCTTTATCAGAAGAGTGTAGATTGAAAAGATCTCAAGCGAAGTTGAAGTATGATAAATTGGTCGTGACGGATGAAATCAAATGGAGACAAAGAGCTAAAGTGGTTTGGCTAAAAGAGGGGGACAGAAACACACACTTCTTCCATAAAATGGCAAATGCAAGAGCCAGAGCTTCTGTAATTACTAGGTTGGAAGGGGAGGGGAGGGTGGGGGAATCTGAGGCAGACATGAAGACAGTGGCAACCAACTTTTATAAAAAACTTTATAAAGAATCTTGGTTCTTCAGACCATTTCCTAGGCCCCTTCCCTTTAAATAGTTGAGTGATGTGCAGTCCACCTTCATTGAAAGACCTTTCACGGAGGAGGAAATAAAAGCAGCAATTAAGATGTTGGCAGATGAAAAATCCCCAGGGCCAGATGGACTTACAAATCTTTTCTACTTTAAATGTTGGGACTTTGTGAAACAGGATATTCTGAATGTCTTTCATGGCTTTTATGAGAGAGGTTCATTGTAGAGGAGTTTAAATACTACCTTTATTACCCTTATTCCGAAGATTTAAGGTGCAGTGAACATAAAAAATTCCAGGCTGATTAGTCTTCTGCATAGCTTCTATAAAAGGCTTATAATCATGTCAACTGAAGGTGTGTCGATCTTGTGTTGCAGTAGATGAATTTTGGGCAAAATTGGAGGAATTAGATAAAAGTATGTATCACCTCTCCAAAATTTTCAGTCTTGATTAATGGACAATCTACAAGCTTCTTTGATAGTTCCAGGGGTCTTAGGCAGGGTGATCCCCTGTCTCCCTTACTATTTATATGTGTAATGGAGATCCTCACTTTGTTTTGTAAAAAGGCTGCCGAATCCGGTGAGTGAGAAGGTTTTGCAATTACTCCAGAGGGGGAGAAAGTTAACATTCTCCAAATTGTAGATGATACTCTATGTTTTGTGGATGCTTCTCCCTCCCAGGTGGACTTAATTCTTGGGATCTTATCTTGGTTTGAGGTGGTCTCTAGCCTTAAAGTCAATTGGAACAAAAGTCAAATTATTCCAATGGGTCAGGTATCCAACTTAGTTGATTGTGCGGAGATTTTGGCATGTCAAATTGCGTCCCTTTCAGTTAAATATTCGGGTCTTCCTCTGGGGGCGAGTTGTGGGCTTTCTTCAATCTGGGACCCGGTTATTGAAAGAATGGAGAGAAAATTGGCATCTTAGAAGGCAAAATATCTTTCTTTTGGGGGTAGGGTGACTTTGATTAAGAGCACACTATCCAATTTACCTACCTATTTCCTCTCCCTTTTCCCTATTCCTAACAAAGTTGCAAGAAAGCGTAAAGAACTTCAAAGAAATTTTCTTTGGAGGGGTTGGGAAGAGGAGAAAAAAACTCATCTTGTTAGTTGGGATCAAGTCTGCCTCCCCAAGGATGAAGGTGGTTTAGGCATAAGGAAGTTGAAAACTTTTAATTCTATCCTTCTCTATAAGTGGATTTGGATATTTGCGGCTGAAAATGATGCCTAGTGGAGACCTCCCATTGTTGGTAAGTATGGAGTGGAGTGGGGCAATTGGAGAACTAGGGGCCCTCCTCCCAGTTGGGGAAACTCTCTGTGGAAAGGGGTATTGAAGAACTTCTCTGTTCTTGCTGATGGGATCTCAATTAAGGTCGGCAATGATAGTAGAACCAAGTTTTGGAAGGATTCTTGGTGCCTGGATGGCCCTCTTGTTGAATCTTTTCCTCTCCTCTTTCAGTGTGCATCTAACCAAGAGGCTTCTGTTGTTGAGTGTTGCAGCTTATCTGGAGATTCAGTTTTTTTGTCCCCTATCTTTAGAAGGAATCTTTTCGACTGGGAGCTGGAAGAGATAATGAACATGTTGACTATTTTTCAGACTCAAGAGGTTGATTTATGCTCAGAAAATAAGTAGTATTGGAAGTGGAATCCAGATGGTGTTTTCTCTGTCGAGTCTTTGGCTTCCAAACTTTGTAGAATGGGTGCCATTAATTTCCCTTGTCATCAGGTGTGGAATCCCATTAGCCCATCTAAATCCAAGTTTCTAGTATGGACTATGGTTCTGAATAAATGTTTGTCTAGAGCTAATCTTGTGAGAAGGGGCATTCAGCTTTTGGACCTTTCGTGCAATCGGTGTGGGAACAATTCTGAAACTACTGATCATTTGTGCATTCACTGCCCGTTTTCTTCTTAGCTGTGGAATCACTTCTTCAGCTCTATGAACTTAAGATGGGTTATGCCAAGTTCGATAAAGGAGCTTTTGTGTTGCTGGAATATTAATGGGCTTAACAAGAAAAAGGAAGATAGTGTGGAAGACTATTCCTAGTGCTGTCTTATGGTCCATCTGGTCTGAGAGGAATAGTAGGCTTTTCTGTAATAAGGCTTGAAGTATTGAAGAGTTAATCCAGAAAGCTGTGGGCAAATTAATCTCTTGGGTGTCAGTCTCTGAGGAGTTCAGAAATTGTAATTTGTCTGTTGTTTGTCATTCCAGTTCTTGGTGGAATATGTAATTGCTGAATTGTTCAGTCGGCCTTTCTGGGACTGATCTCAGCTTGTTTGTGTAGCTTTTGTTTCAATAAATATTACGTTACCTTTTTCCAAAAAAAATCTCATTTAACAAGATAAATGAACAGTTATGCAAGAGAAAGTACAAGGATAATGACATCATGACAAAAACGGTGTGCTTGGAGAGTGGACATAGAAAGAGCCATCAATTCAGTCCTACAGCATAGGCCATCATCACCTTTATAGATGAAGATTAATTGGTCTATATACAGAGTTTGAGTCATAGCCTGCTTTTGAGTGCTAGCTTATTAATTATTTGTTTTTATGCCAGAAGTGGTTAGAAATAAAGACACCATAGTCCTTTACATTGAAATTTAAAATTCTTAGATTAAAAGCACTGTATGCACCAAGCTGAATGTAATTTGTGACACAACAATCATGATGATTGAATAGGTTATTCTGCTTTGCTGGTCTGGCAGTTGGAGATCTTAAATAACCAAACTCAATTTGCATTTCACCTTCTGGTTAATGCCATCTACTTATTAACATATACCACTGCAAGGTTCAAAGTTTCGATACAGTCCAATACACCAAATTGGGTGTATCGGACTTTGTATTGACACTTTTATATTTTTTTCATTTTTTTTCAAAATATGTTCAGGGGGTCAGTTAAAAGCCTGGTTACCCCCTGAAACAGGTCATACCCCGAAACTCCTTATATTTCGCATATTGGTGACCCATCGATACGATACGTATCGACCAATACGGGCCGATACGTAACAAAATTTTGAACCTTGTACCACTGTAGCATTTAATGAGATGACAATGCAATATCTTTGACCCCTGTCTCTCTCAACACTTGGGGGCAGTTGAAGCAACAGCCTGTATTAAACTAATTTAATGTGTAAAATAAATCTACCACTATTGGCAATGATTGACATGATTAAAAGCTAGGAAAACCCAAAGAGTAGCAGCACTACTAGGAATTTAATCAGTGTAATATCCTGAATGTATTAGAGGTTTCCATGGATACAATCAAATGCATCCAATAAGGATAGAAATAAGCCTTTATTATCAACAAAATGGAAGGCAGATTCGTAGAGGTAACTTCAATGATTCAATCAACTAATTGCAGACATGTCCAATGCTAATATAATATTCACATATTACATCTAAGAAATAATAGCATCAAACAGAATACCTTAAATACTTGAAAAAAAAATTGTGAATACGCTACATATGCATATTGGTGCAAGGTATTTCAGAATGAAGAAAAAAATAACTAGTTAAGAATTTCAATCTTTTTCCTATCTTCAACTCAGCTCAATTAAACAAAGCCCTTTTTTCCTATTTTCTTTTATTTTTCCTTATTTTCCAGTAACAAGTTAAAGCATCTCAGACCTTAACTATAAACAACCAGAAAAATAAAAGAAACGCAAAACTACTAAAAAAAAATCAACTAAAGAAAAAGGATACGGTAAGCTGAAAGGAGTTGATCATCCTTCAAAACTTTTCCACGACATATTAAGCGTTGCTGTTCTGACAGCACACCAGTAATAGTTGCAATCTGTTCCTTCAATGCAGGCACGGGTACCTGAGAACACAAAAGTTTATTCAATGCCTAAGCTAATAAAGATGGATAATGCTTGACAAATCTCTAATAACTTACCATCAGGCACCAAATAAGGAAGAAAAGTGTTCTCAGGTTCCAGAAATCAGAGGTAAAAAAAATATTTTTCTAATTTTTATTGCTCACAAAATATTTATCAATTACAAACTTTTCATTTAAGATCAAATGGGAATAGCTACTTCTAACATATACGAAGAAAAAAAACAATCCTAGAGGGGTTGAAGCCATCCATAAATGTGAGAACAAAAGAATAAGAAACTTCTATCCTAGAAATCAGCTCCCTAATACAAAAGTTATTCTCACAACACCTTCCAATGAAGGCTGTCAACAGATGATTTGGTAGACCTTATGATCCACCCAAACAAGATATTGGAATGGCAAACAATATAAAGAAAGTAACAAAGGATGTCCTAGGAGAATATAAAGGGAAGTAGCAAGGTACTAAAGAAACTTGGTGGAATGAAAACGTTCAAAATATAATTAGATTAAAACAAGCATGCTACAAAGTATGGCAAAAGGCTAAAATGTGGAAAACTAGGAAAAATATAAAACCATAAGAAAGTTAAAAAGAATGTGAATAAAGTTAAATGTAAGGCTGATAATTTACCATAAATTAGATACTAAAGAGGGAGAAAAAAGAATTTATAATAAACTAGCAAAGGTGAAAAAAGGAAAGGTAGAGATTTAGCAGGGAGAGGATGATAATGGAGGAGAATCTAGCAATATTAGTAGTGTTAAAAATAATGTGTACCTTTGTAGAGTTAGACCTAGTGAAATAAAGGAGGCACTAAATAAGATTAAGAAGGGAAAGACGTTAGAACCAGATGGGATTCCAATAGAAGTATGGAAAGATATGGGGGAGGTAGGTTTGTTATGGCTAACCAAGCTATTTAATAAGATAGTATAAGAAAAGAAGATGCATGATGAATGGAGAAACAATGGTATGGTGCCTATATTTAAGAGCAAAGGTGATATACAAAGTTGTAATAACTATCAAGGGATTAAACGTATGAACCACACTGTGAAACTTCGGGAGAGAATAATTGAACAAAGATTACAACTTGAAACAGGTGTATCAGAGAACCAATTTGCCTTAATGCCAGGAAGATCAACCATGGAAACTATATTTCTTTTAATACAATTCATAGAAAAGTTCAAAGAGAAGAAGAAAGATCTTCATATGGTGTTCTTTAGTCTAGAAAAGGCATATGATAGAGTTCCTAGAGGGGGCAACAACCAATGTCAGAACACCAGTTAGAGAGAGTTCAAAGTTTACAATTACTATGGATCTTGACCAAGGTTCAGCACTTACCCCTTATCTATTTGCATACATAGATGAATTGACTAAACATATTCAAGAGGAAGTTGCATGGTGCACATTGTTTGCAAAGACATTGTTTTAATTGATGAAACTAATGAAGCATTAAAGGAAAAATTAAGCTTATGGACAAATGCCTTAGAAACAAAGGTTTTAAAATATGTAGGACTAAGACAAAGTATATGACATGTAAATTTAGTAATTATAGGAGTGTAAATCAAGGTACGCTTAATTTTTTGGCTTTCAAGATTATAAACATTGAGGATCTGTAGAAGAAGATGGAGAATAGGTTTGTAGAAGCTGCTAGATGGAGGAGAGTGATGAAGATTGAAGCAAAAGATTTCTTATTTGAAGAGATAAGGATCAGGGGCCAGCAGAGCTTGAAGATTAGGGAGGCAAAGAGAGCAACAATATTGTTGGAAGGTCTTGAAGTGATTGAATGGTTGCAGAGTTTTGTTTCAGAAGCAAGCTCCAAAGGTAAACAACTGAACTTTACAAAGTTCAACCTTGATGGAAGAAAGAGCTATGAGTTGGAATGCAAAAAGAATACAAAAGAATGCTACATAACACTGCAGGAATTCTTTGGAGGAAGAAAGAAGCAGTTGGCTTGTTTCCCACAAGGTAAACAGGGTGTTGGATGGAAGGTAGTCGCAGAGGTACTGAGTGACTTTACTCAGCAGCTGAAAACAAAACAAGTAGAGGCTGCAGTAAAGGAAAAGAAAGGGGGTAATCACAAGAGAAAGGAAGAACCCACTTACAGGAAATGGATGATTGCAGAAAAAGGAAAAAGATTTTGTAAACTGGTAGCAACAGCAGAAAAAGAGGATTGGGGGAAGAAATTTGTGGTTGAAACTTCAAGTCCACCACGGGTTTGGAGAGGTATTGCTCAGGCGATACTCAAAGAATTAAACCTGCAGAAGCCGATGGTGATTACTCCTTATGAAACTTGTAAAGCTTTGATAGATCTAAGTGAAGATAAAGTAGAGATTTTGATTGGGTTGTTGGTCGTGTTACAGAAGAAGAGCTGGTTCGAGGGTGCTCACCCTCCTGAGATGGACGAGAAAGAGAGAGGAAGAGAAGAGAAGAGGACGAGAGAAACTCAGAACTCTTTCATTCATGCCACTCAATTGATTGCTATAGATATTTATAACTGCCGATAGTGGCTTGTAACAACCCAATCGTGACCTATAACAACCCAACAAACTCTGCTCATATCTCTGGACGTGGACGGCGCGTGTAAACAAATCTCAGAGGAAGTGTTGCTCGCCTGAGTCGTGGGGTGTGCTGACCTGGGTCCGAAGTGTCCTGGGCCTGGGCCTGGCTCTCCATAACTGGGTCGGTCCTAACATCCCCTTCCCCATCAAGAATGACCTTGTCCTCAAGGTTGGTGGTAGGGAACTGCTTCTGTAACTAGTCAAAATCTTCCCAATTAGAACCCTCCTGTGGCAGCCCCTTCCAAACGACCAGGATTTGTTTGTGAACCTTGCTGCCCTTCTTCACCCAACGGATGTCCTTAACATGTTGTGGTTCAAACACTATTCCACCGGCCTCCGTGAACGGCAGAAGTGTGGGACTGGTAACATCGGAGGAAGATAGGCAAGGCTTCAAGAGGCTAACATGGAATATGGGATGCAACTGGCACTCTGCAGGGAGGTTCAGTCGATAGGCAACAGCCCCAATGCGTTCAACCACCTGAAATGGCCCAAAGTACCGGGGAGATAATTTCTGGGTCGACCTTCTCGCTAGGGACGCCTGCCTGTATGGTTGGAGTTTCAAGTATACACAATCCCTAATTGAAAACTCCAATTCTCGGTGCTTCCTATCATAAGCTATCTTCATACGTTGTTGGGCCTGCTGAAGATGGAACTTGAGGGTCTTAAGTATCTGGTCCCTTGCTGAAAGCTGGCTTTCAACTTCAGCAACAGATGTTGTTCCCTTTTCATACGGTATGATAGATGGAGGGCCACACCCATAGAGCACTTTGAAAGGGGTGGTTCCTGCTGATACCTAGAATGTAGTGTTATACCAGAACTCGGCCCACGGTAACCATTGAGCCCATTGTTTGGGCTTATCTCCCACAAAACAATGCAAATAGGTCTCCAAACATCGGTTGACTACCTCCGACTGCCCGTCTGTCTGTGGATGATAATTGGTCAAGTGAAGTAGGTGCACCCCTTGAGCGGAGAAGTAAGCTTGCCAAAAAGAACTCATAAAGATGGGATCCCGGTCTGTCAAGATGGAGAGGGGAGTTTCGTGGAGTCTGGCCACCTCCCAAATGTAAGCTTGAGCCACAGTGGACGTTGAATAAGGTCTGGAGAGGGCAATGAAGTGTGCGTACTTACTCAGCCTGTCCACAACCACCAGCACTACCGACTTCCCTTGAGAGGTGGGGAGCCCGGTTATGAAGTCCATAGTGACTTCTTCCCAAACTCTTTCTGTTGGCAAGTAGCACATCTCGCTACATACTCCTTCACCACGCGCTTCATGCCTTTCCAATAATAGTGCGAGGCCAAACGTTTATAGGTACGAAGAGCCCCTGAATGTCCTTGTGCTGAGTCATGAAAGAGTCGTAGCAACTCCTGGTGATGGTTGGATCTGACAGAAATCACCATTCTCCCTCTGTAAAGGAGAACATCACCCTTCACAGTGTACCTATCGGTGAGAGCTGGTTCCTTAAGAACTTGGGCCCGAATCTAGGCTAGGTGAGTGTCATTGTGGGCTTCCTGCCTTAACTGGTCCATCAAGGTATAAGTTGGTCGTGACACCACAGTGATGTGAAGGTCTTCCACCTGTGAGAGTGCGTCGGCGACAGCATTAGAAGGTCCCGGCTTGTATTCAATGATAAAGTCGTAGCCCAGTAACTTGTAGGCCCACCTTTGCTGGTCAGGGCCCAGAATTCTTTGCTCCAGCAAATGCTTGATGCCGCGGTGGTCTGTGCGCACAATGAATCTTCGGCCCAGGAGGTATGCCCTCCACTTCTGCACTAACAGCGCGATTGCCATGAGTTCTTTCTCGTATGTGGACTTGGCTTGGGCCTGGGGAGAGTGGGCCTTGCTGTAGAAGGCCAATGGTTGGCCCTGCTGCATTAAGATTGTGCCTACCCCTTTGCCTAAGGCATCCGCTTCAACCACAAATTCTAATGTGAAATCGGGAAGAGCCAACGTTGGAGGTGTGGTCACAACCTTCTTAAGTAACTGGAAGGCTTCATCAGCTTTCTGATTCCACTCAAATGCATGCTTCTTCAGTAGGCTGATAAGTGGTGCCGCCAGGACTCCATAATCTTTAATGAAGCAACGATAGTACCCAGTAAGCCCAAGGAACCCCCTGAGGGCCCGTGGGAGTTGGGCCTAGCCGATGCGACCATGCAAGCAATCTTCTCTGGGTCTATATGCACCTGGCCGTCGGAGATGATGTGCCCTAAATAGTTAATCTGGGTCTGCCTGAAGGAGCACTTAGAAGGGTAACTTCTGGAGAAGTTTGTCTTCCATACATTTCTTCTGATCTACAGCTTGCTGATGTTCTCACAAAAGGTGTTGCAAAGAATAAGCTGGAACATGATCTACGCAAGTGGGGAATGTATGACATCTATTCCCAACTTGAGGGGGAGTGTTGAGTGGGCCGATTTATGTTTAGATTGTTTTCTTTT